AACCATCCCTTTCCCGGTGGAGAACCCTCCACCTGTCTCACACGTCTCACACCAGCTTGTGCCCGGGTGTCCGACACAGAGGTCAACCAGGCCAGCGTATAACCGGCTCTGAGCATAGGGTTTTCCACCCGCCAGCAGGGCCTGCATCAACGGCTGAGGGCCCCCCCCACATCTGCACAGCTAGAGATTTTGAGCCATCTTCCGTACGGAGATCCCACAAGAATATTGGGGAAGAGCCTTGGGCAGTTCAGAAAGCTGGCGGCGAGAAAACAAACCCCGTCACCAGCCCCCAGTCCGTGGCTCGACAAACCGATGCGAGCAAGTCGCAAGGTGCACAACAGGAAACATCCAGAATCCAAACGGCACCCCCAAAAAAACAACCCCTCCCCAACAGCCCAGCTGATGAATGTCCGACAGCAGGGGGTTTACGGGGGAAGCCGCGCCCCCTCGCTTTTTGACCGTCGCAAGTCGGGTATGTCCAAAAGGGGCCAGTCCCGGTTCAGCATGGATTTTCTGCCGGGTCCTCACCACAGATCGGGAACAAAAAAGGTTTCATTGCATCACGAAGCGCCATGTGCCAAGCAATTCTGTACGCAAGCCGTTCGGTCAGGCTGCCCCCCAGGGCATACAGCGCTGGAAGCAGCCATGCCACGGGGCTTCCTTGGGCGTCCACTTTCATGTCCACCACCGCCGGCTCCTTGGCTGCTGGCTCTCTGCGCCAGGATGTGCAAGGAGAGGAGGGCTTCCGCCAAGGGCTCCGAGAAGACCAGGCGCCATAGCTGCTCAGACGCCTCCGGCCCCAGGCAAAAACTCGAAGAGGATTCTGCCCCGGTAGTTTGCGCGGCGCCGCGTCCAAAAAGGGCCAGCGCCCTCAAACTTCCTGCAAAAGAGCATCCTCCCCTGATTCTCCATGTTGAGTTCCACCATGTGGCCATGAGTGTAATTGAAGGACTTTGCCTGGGTCACGTAGACAAGGTTCCCTCTAACGTCTTCAAAGGCCGGTCACCCGGGGTCTTGTGAAAGTCCCAGACTGCTTGCCCGCTTTTTGGAGGGTAGTCCCATCCGTAATCATGGCCAGGCAGAGGGTCCAGGCCGAAGAGCTCCAAGAACTGCATGTTCACCGGCAACCAGGTAAACAGGAGCTCCGCTTCCTCCCATGTCTGCCTCCATCAGCGCTTGAAGCAGCCCGTAGGGCAGACAGAGGGCAGGTTTCCACCTGGTCACCCCTACGTGTGTGCAAGTTCCCCACGCTTTGCCATGGCCAGCATCGCCTTGAAATCAGGGTGGCCATTGCGTAGATTTTACCCCGGTGTTTGAGAAGGTGTCTAGGGATCAGAGTCCCTTCTGCCTCCTTCCTACACCATGAAGCCGTAGAAGCTCAAGACAGACAGGGCGAGCCCTGCAATAGCCAGAAGGGTGTTTTGACGGTCTTGGTCGTTTCTTCCAGCTGCACCACCGGCTTGGAGTCAATCCCCCCTTCCTCTTTAGCATCTGCCATAGTGGCGTGGATGTTGGCCATATCTGAACTAAAGATCCCCCGGCGCCTGCGGGTCGTCCAGCAAGCGTGAAGTGCACCTGGTGGTTCATGGACAAAGCCAAAAATTGGCCAGGAAGCGCACCAGTTGACCCAGCTTGCACCTCTTCATCAGCTTCTGTTCCCATGCATAAAGTGGTTGTAGGTGAGGCGATAGAGTAGGGAAGGCCTTGGCTACCCTGCGGCCTTGCAGTTTCTGCAGCATAGGTCGTAGTCTTTCCAGCTTCTCATCTGCCAGCCAGGCCGTGCCCTTGCTATGTCCACCTGGCACCCTAGCCACAAGTTCTGCGGTCCCAGGGCATTGTTGTGCCAGGAGATAGGACATCCCACCAGGAAAAGAAATCAATTTGCGCAGGACACAAAGACCATGACCCAACAAGAACTCAGTCGAGATGTGGTAGGTCAACCTTGTTAGCAAGGCCGCCGCTCTGCTCCAGCAATACTGGGCAGAGGCAACCCATAGGTGCCGACCATGTTGACCCAGAAAAATTTCTTGATCGTTGCTATCATGTATTTCCAGTCATTCCGACGAATTTTGATTTTATTGACGTCCGACTTGAACAAGGTGAGGTCTTGTTCGAGGAGCTGCCCCCTCGCCCACAGCAGATCGTGAAGTGTGGGGGAGGTAGTCTTCTTGGTGATGTGTGATCGGATGTTGCGCACCGAAGATTGTGCACCTTGTCCGTCTCCTGGATCGCAGCCATGGCCCCCACACACAGGTCTTCCCGTGTACATTCGCAGACTTTGGCAGCCCTTTTTTGCTTGGAGAAAGGGCCGAGCACGCCCATGCCCCGCTCTTCTTTGAAGGCGCGCTCGATCTCGTCCTCAAACGGTAGTCGGAGCCAGGGCTCTAGTTCCTGCGAGTTTGACCCAGTTCCGCTTTTGAGGGCCAGATCTGAGGGTTCTCCAAGACAGACACACAGACACACACACAGACACACAGACACACAGACACACAGACACACAGACACACAGACACACAGACACACAGACACACAGACACACAGTCACACAGTCACACAGACACACAGACACACAGACACACAGACACACAGACACACAGACACACAGACACACAGACACACAGACACACAGACACACAGACACACACAGACACACACAGACACACACAGACACACACAGACACACAGACACACAGACACACAGACACACAGACACACAGACACACAGACACACAGACACACAGACGACACACAGACACACAGACGACACACAGACACACAGACGACACACAGACGACACACAGACACACAGACGACACAGACGACACACAGACACACAGACACACAGACACACAGACACACAGACACACA